TGTGCAAAGCTCAATTTAGTGCGATGAAAATTCATCGCTCGAATTATTCATGAACTTTTATAGTTTAACTGATGGAAATACATCATTAGAGCGAGTACTACTCGACAATTAACTCAAAATTCCAATTGCATTCTTAATGAGAAATATGTTATTCTCGATTTTTAGCTAAATATAGAGTTAAGTCTATATACATCATAGTTGATGGTTCTCTCGAACATACCGAACCTATTTGAAATAATTTTGAGATGATGATATTATGAAGAAATAATTCCTTCCTATCTTAGAAACTTAATATCCATAATCATATTGGATTTTCACAAATCTTTCATATCAAACTGTATATCCTTGGTATTCATGAACACTAACATGATTGTTTTGTGAGAACACCGTATTGTCTATATAAGGATTATCATCACAAAGAGTCAGACAAACCTTTTATATAGATACATTTTTTTACTCATTGTTGAAAACCCTTTGACTAGTTGGGTTTCAAATTTTTTCAAGACAATAATTCAAGGTACTAGTACGAAAGTTATTGCTCTTCTTATAACTTAAACAAAGTTTTGTTTCTACATTGTTTGGCATTTGTATTTGCAAAACAAATAAAAAAAGATTGCTTCCCCCACAAGTATCTTTATGCCCGAGAGGGACGGATTCACCTTTGGGCAGGGCTGGGCTGAAGCCTAGGCCTCTTATTTTCCTTTTTAACAATTATAAGTTCAAAAACAAAAATTATTGTGTTTCTAGCCCAATATAATAAATCAACCCACTAACCTACTTAAATAATCCACTTATATTGTTGATTCAAAGACTACAAACACTACTCTAATAAAATATTATGTATTGTTGATCCTTCATTCCCATTAGGCAACACCACTATTCACCAAACTTCAATCATATAAATCTTCCGCGGCCATGCCCCTCTCGTGAACACCAGAAAAAATGAATTTAGTCTAAAAAAAAGCGACTAAAAAAGAAAGAGACTACTTTCAAGAACATGATTTAATTTATTCTTTAATAGTAAATTATATTTTAAACCCCAATTAGATATTTGTTTCATTTGCCTAATTGTCTTTATTTATCTTTTCAATGTAGTTGAGCTATTTTGGATTTTAATAGTAATTGTCAGGATAATTTGGTTCCAATTATTGTTTTGTTGATTGTGTATGAAGTATTTAATTATGTGTTTTTTATTCATCTTTTATCCTCTAGTGTGGTTATTGTATATCATATTTTAATTTTCAAGTCATGACGTGTAAGCATTTTATTTTGCTAGTAACTATACCATATGGAAAAGAGAAAATTATACTACTTACCATCAAAAGCAATTTTATTTGCACATTTATTCATCATTTACTTTTTTTTTTTGTAATTATACTAACAATTAAATTTTTTCTCACCATTTTTCTCTCTCCTTTTTAGTAATTATTCTTCCTGTGATATTTTCTCTATCTCATTTTTTCCAACGGTCCAACTTCCTCCATGGAGGCCCCACCACTCCCCCAATTCCCTCCATCACCCCCTAAACGTCGGCGGCCTACACGAACTCCGGCCACGCCACCCCTCCGTCGTCGAAGCTTCGCCTGATGTGCGGCTATGGTGGCCGCATCGTCCCCCGCCCCCACAACAAGGCCCTCAGCTACGTCGGCGTCGATACTCGCATCATCGTCGTCGATCGCTATGCCACCCTCTCCGACCTCCACCACCGCCTCTCCAGGAGCCTCCTCTGCGATCAGCCTTTCTTTATTCCATTTTTTTTTTGTGAACTGGTGATGGCAGTATATGTTGCGTGTTTAGGCCGTATATGTTCATTATATTCTGTGTAAACTAATCCGGTATATATTATGTGTATATCTTCTGTATATATTCTGTATATATTATGAAAAGATCGGGTCGTATATGTTCAATATATTCTGTATAAACTAATTCGGTATATATTATGTATATATCTTCTGTATATATTATGTATATATTACGAAAATATCGTGTATTTTCTGTTTCAGTACAAGAAAATATTAGAGTCAATTTGAGTATAAGATCGTGTAATTTCAAAATCTGATCCTTTCCTTTTTTTAAAAAACAGATCGTGTATATAACATGAAGATGACCGAATTTATAGACTTCCCTTTTTTTCTTCAAAACAATGAGCTAATGGCGCGATTATAGGGAGTGAATATAGGTAGTATGTTATTTTGGTAACTGGTTCATTTTATTCTTCCATATTAAATGCATTTTTTTTAGGTACATATCCAAATAAAATCCTTCTCCTGGTAGGATTGCAATTTCTTTTGTATATTGTGGTAAGTAAAAAAATTCGCCTATGGAAAATCTATTTATTGGTATTGTGAAATTTTTAGAAATTCACATAAAGCACCAACCTTCAGCCAAGAATGAAAAAAAAAAATCTTATTGATATTATCGTTCTTTAGAAAACACGATCGTCAAAGTAGTGAAAGCACATCAAATACCGAGCATAGCTTCAGTTAATATTTGAATAAAAAATATTATATGATTTTTATGAAAATTAGTTTTTAAAATTCTGACACAGTCTACCTTTAATTTCTGAATCCGTCCCTGATGCCCGAACTTATAAAAAGTACTCATTATGTGTTTTTAGCCTCATTATTTTACTTCTTAAAAGCTACTGTTTTTATCTCAATATTCAAGAGATAGATACAACAAATCTTTCTTCATTCATCAAGTAATAAATACATGACTCCCACATGAGCTAGCACATACGAACTTTTAGATCACATCTACTGTGAATTAATTAAAGTGGACTTGCAGAGATCAAACGGATACAAAATGCTTTTGTCGCTTTCTTTTTTAACTTCTAGTGTCAAATGTAGATTCAATAATTTTTGTGTTAAAATTATTACAAATTAATTTATCCTGCTATAAATTAGAATTCTCTAACAAATAAAACAGACAAATTTTTTATTTTTTCAAACATTGGATTACAATCAGTACAAATTTTAAAAGCGACCGTCAAGGTATTCTTTGCTAAGAATATTGTTTTCCGGCTTAATTCATTTTTTGTTCTAAAATTTAAATCTAAATCTGACCTTACACAATGAATGTTCTGAAAAACTAGATTTTTGTTGATATCTTGGCCGTGAAGAGCTTCCACTATCGCCCATTATAACTCTTTGCACCACGTTGTAGGTTCTTTCAAAGCTTAAAGTTAAGGAATTTTCTATAAAATGCGTCCTTCTGTCGTTTGCGGTGTAGGACGAAATAAATTTACAGTGCCTATCTAGTGGATCTTGTTACCATCTGCTAATAACGTGATATTAGCGTGAATTTTAACCAAGTTAACACTTGGACCACAATGGAAAGATCAAGCTCTGACATTTTAAAATTGTCCTCTCCACAATTTTCACTAACCTTAATCTATCCTAAGAGTAAGCAATCTTTGGAATGATATTCGGGTTTGCCCCTATCATAGCAACGTTGTTTGAATTTCTTAGAGTTTTATTGCGGTTCTCCATGAGAAGCTTTTTTTGCTTTTCACCCGAACTCTGCTTGACCAACTTCCCCTTAGCCTCCATCTATATATATAGATAATTCTTCAATTTCCTATTATCTCTTTCTACCCGAATTCTAGCAATAAAATCCTGAAGTTTAATCTCGTTGGCACGTTTGCTTCATTTGATAAGATAGGATAACAAGTTTAATACCTTATTAATTGCATATTTGGTTCATATGATTCTGACCTGCGTGATAAGGTTTACCCAGTGATAAAAAATGATTATATCCCCATTATGCGTGAGAAATTATCCTCCGGAGATTGGGTTGGTAAAATTTATGAAACACTATCGGATGAAATAACATATTTGCTCATATAGACCTGGACAAAGTTGCACCCACGTGAAACCTTTATTACGCAACATCAACTTCTCCAAAACTCGAATTTTTTATGGCCTCCACATTCTGCCGTCGAAGGTCCCCAAAAACCACTAAAAATCAGGGATTTCAACTTGGGCTAACGGTGGTCTATTTGGGCCACCGGCCGATTCGGATCAAAGGTCGTATCATCCCCTGCCACTCCATTTTTCGGCCATACAGCAAGTGATGAAGGATATTCAAGGTGAAAACTCTGACCTCTTTGGTCGTTTTCGTTCTATTTCAATGAGCCACTGGATTTTCTTCCCTGATTGCGACTGTTAGGCCTTGAATTCAACCAATTTGTTTTCCAAGTCCATGTGGGTGTTCTTTTTATTACACTGTGATGAGTGTTTTTGCCGATGGATGAATGGAGATTTCTGGTGGTAGTTTTGTTTTTCCGTAGCATAGACTTTACTGGGGTTGGGCTAGGCGGAGGGTGTTAAAATTGACATTTTTGTTTTTGTCCCGTTAGAACACGTTTGTTATAAAATAAGATTAAGGTATGCGTTTGTTCTGAGCGATTACAGCCCGCATGATTAATGAGGGCCCGCGACCCGAAAGTCTTTATTTTGTGTAAATATGGCCACGGGCCGAACCGGCCCGTGGCTCGGACCGCGAACCGGTACCGAACCGGCCCGGACTGACCCGTAACCGGCCATATTCGGGCCGGTCCGTTGGACCGAACCGCAAGGGCCGCGGTTCGGTCCCGGTTCCAGAAAAAAAAAAATTTGCACCGGCGGTCCGGTCCGGGCCGGGTCGGGCCACGGGCGAACCGCCGACAACGGTTATGTCCTTTATTTTATTTTATTTTTATATTATATATGCCGGGTCGGGCCGGGTCAACCGGATCGGCCCAGACCAACCCGGTGTCAGGACCTGCCACAGCCCATACGTGCGTAAGATATCCGTTGGGCCTGGTTGGACCACGGTTCGGGCCGGGTCCATGGGCCCAACCGTCCAAAAAAAAAAAATTAAAATCGGCCGTTGGATCGGAATTGACCGTTGGGATCCAACGGCCCAAAATTTTGGCCCGCCCGACCCGCCGGTACGACCCGGACCCGGCGGGTCCACGAAATAAAAAAAAAAATTCAAAAAATTGGGAAAAAATTTAAAAAACTTCCCAAATTTTCCCTATAAAAACCCCCCTCCCCCTCCACATTTTTCACACAATCACATTCTCATTCTCTCTTCTCTCTAATCTCTATTCTTTTACTCTATATTCTTCTCACTCGGTTTTTAGTGATCGGTTTTTACTTATTAGTTTTGTGTTCGGTTTTAAAAAAAAAAAATACCGAAAAAAAATTCGAAAAAAAACAATAAATAAAAATTCGAAAAAAAAAAATACCACATCTTTTCATTTATTTTTTTTCATCATATTTTATATTTCTATATAATTTTCCCCAATTTATTTTTTACTCTTTAAATTATAAAATGTCAAGCTCTCGTGGTGGTCGTGGTTCGAATTTCGGACAGAAACGTAGAAATATCGGCACCGGCCCATCTTCGTCGAGACCTCCATTGCCGGAATTTGCGATTCCATCGATACATGTGGATATTCCCGGTGTCGCCGATGACATTGATGAGGCGACGATCGAGCGCATGTTTGGCTCAATTCAGCCTGAGCAACAAGAGCAACAGCAGCCGTATCACGACCATTTCGATGATATATTTGGAGAGTCCCCGCCGGAGGTTCAGCAACCGACGCAACAGTAACAGCCGGACCCGGAGGTCCCGGACCCGGGCCACCCAGCCTCTGCCTTTGCCCGTGCCAGACCGGCATCTGCCATATTCAAACAACATTACACGAAGGTGGCCAATCCGACAAGAGGTGAGAATCACTTTTTAGTTGTTTGCAACTACTGCCCGGCGAACGACAAGAAGCAATACCATTTCAAAAAAGGCGATGGATACGGATCGTTGAAACGACACTTAGAGAGGGTTCATCCGACAAAATTGGGAATTGACAGAGCACAGACGCAACTCCCAAGTAGTAGCGCTGCATCAGCCACGATTGGTACAGGTACGCCAACTTTATTTCAGTACTCACATGAAAATCATCGACGCCATTTAGCTGAATTTGTTTCTGCTTCATCTCTTCCGTTTAGCTTTGGTGATAGTGATTTATATGAACATTTTGCTCAAATGGCTTTGAATCCGGCTGCCCACCGGGTTCCACGTACTACTCTTACTCGCGATATTCGAAAAATAGTGGCGGAAAAAAAAATAATTTTGCAAGAAACTTTTAAATCTTTAAATCATAGAGTATCCATTTGTGCTGATATCTGGTCTGATCATTGGCAAAATAATTTCTATTTAAGAATTACTTGTCATTGGATAGATGAAAATTGGAGTTTACAAAAACGTTTAATTGCTTATGCTGCATTTCATGAACGACACACTGCTTCTAATATTGCTCGTTTAATTTCAAAAAATTTTGGATAAATATCAAATAGGTAAAAAAGTGTTTTCCATTTCGTTTGATAATGCTACTGCAAATACTGCATCTATACGTGAACTTACCGATATTTGCACTCCAATTTGCGGCGGAAGATTTTTTCATATTCGTTGTATATGTCATGTCTTAAATCTCTGTGTACAAGCTGGTTATCATGCTTTTAAAGATTCGGTCACGCCAATTAGGGACGCTGTTAATTATTTACATAAACGTCCCCATGAAATGAAAGCATGGGGACGTTTTTGTAAAGATCAAGGGGTGAAACCTAAAAAATTTCAACCCGACGTTCCTAACCGGTGGAACTCTTGACACGGTTCCGTTTATGACACAATTGCAGGATTTTTTTAACCATTCAAACCGTAAGGACTGTGATGTCCGAGTGTCAACAAGAGATTGGGAGAACTGTAATGCACTTATTAAATTTTTAGAAACATTTCAAAATGCCACTAACATGCTTTCTGGTGTTTATTATCCTACTGCTCAGCTTGTGTTAGGTCAAGCTATAGCCATAATGTGGGCTTTCAAGGATCTTTACAACTTAAATTTTAATAAATATGGCTATTTAGTTGAGGAAATGTTAAAGAAATGGTTGAAATATTATTATTTCATTCCTGATACACATTTAGTTGCATGTTTGTTAGATCCTTCGGTACGTGAAGCTCGCTTGGTAGAGCAGCTTAACATGTATTATAATTATATGTATGAACTCCCAATCCCGACTGATGTCCCAACATACAGTAAAAAACCTAACGTACTGCTGCTCGTCGAGCAAGCAAAAAATTTGTTGTACGACATGTTTAAGGAAACAGCGATTGCACAAGGTGAACCTCCCAGCACATTCGTTCGTGGCGGCAGGGGCAGTAGCAGCGGGTCTTCTTCTTGCGGCGGTAGTCAAGTAGGCGCTTCGAACTTTCAGGAGTGGTGGGCATCATTAAATCCCTACAAGAATGTTGGCGTTGAAAGGGCAAAGGGAACTGGATACTATGAGCTTGATCACCACCTAACATCGAATTTGATACTTACGATTGCTCGTGAACCAAGTCCGCCACTCAATTTCGATGTCTTGGACTGGTGGTCGAGAATGCAAGGTATTTATCCTATTCCTTGCTTGATGGCCAAGGAGATTTTCGCCGTCCCAGCATCTACAGTTGCGGTCGAACAAGCCTTCAGCGAGGGAGGTTATATGCTCGACGCACGACGATCGCGGCTGACGCCCGAAAACCTACAAGCACAAATGCTGCTGATGGATTGGAAAAAAGCCAAACGAAGGATGCAAACAGCTATGTACGTAGATGACGAAGCAGACGACGATGATGACGCATCTGATTTTACGAGTACAACGAGTGGTGGAACCGGAATAGGAGATGACGAGTATGACTATTAGAGACCACCAATCGTGTACAGGTAAGTAAATCGAAAGAACTACGTGGACTTTGATTCCCAATATAAGGGATACGTAGGCAACTTAATTGTCATTTATAAGTTAAAATATCATTTTTTTCCCAAAACAAAAAAAAAGTTCAAGTTATATGATATTTTAACTTAATAAATGTCAATTAAGCTCAAGTCCAATTTTTTTTCTTTTTTTTTTATATATATCAATTTTATAATATCTAAACGTAAAAAGAATTAATTTTCCTGTAGAAAACATTGTTCAGAAATCTTCAGTTAAAATATCAATTAAAATAAGTTAAATTAGATCAATAGAAGGATGTTCTATAATGAAGACAATCGCAGTATCTTAACTTAACTTAACAAGAATTAATTTGCCTCTAGAAAACATTGTTCAGAAATCCAGGCAATAATATCAATTATTCCAATAATGCCCCGTCCACAATCTCCGTTGTTGTATTCTAGACGTATTAGAGAGTGCGACGCAATATCCACAACGGAGATTGTGTGCGTGGCATTATTGGCGTAATTGATGTTATTAGTCAATTAGCAAAAGGCCTCCACTTAACCCTATTGGTTCCACCATTACACATCTCTCTTTATACCCCAACGTTTTACTTACAATTACAACAAAACTATTTTTTTTTTTTTTTTGTTTCAGAAAAAACACAATATGGGGGTGATGAGTCTTGATAGACTCCTTTATCTGGGGAACTGTAGAGGGTCCACCCAAACCTCTACAGTTCCACACCAGAGCATTCATTGAGCACCCTGTGGCCACTCTAGGCTGGCCATCTCCATCCTTTCCTCATCTATCTTCAATCTTTTCACCTTACTTTCCTCATCATTACCATTTTCTTTCTGAAGAATTCTCATACTTGCCCCTCTTGTTCTATTATTTGAAAAATGAATCTTCTCTTCTCCTATTCTCCTTGATGTTCTCTGCATTTTCCCCTCTAGGGGTTCTCTTTTCCAGGTGTTTTGTTTCCTGCCTTTCAAGCTAAGACACACTTCTTTTTCATGATCCTATATAATCCTCTGACTATGTCTTTCTCCCACTACTTCAATCTCCATGTCCCCTGTATTTTTCTCCTTACTATGCTCCCTCACCATCTTCTTTGATTTTGGTATCTGCTTATCTATTCCACTTGCATTCTCCCTTACATCAACTGATTCTGCAATTTTCTTCAAGTTGCTTTTATTACTCCCTTCTCCCTCTTCCCCCAAATCAATGGCCAATATCTACTTACCTCTGTTATCCTCCCCTTTCTCTCCATCCTCAGTTGATCTAGCTACTGAACCATCTGAATTGTGGATTATGGACTCAATATTCTCTCCATTTGTGCCAGCCCATGTGGTTTGACTGTTCTGAGAAGAAGTAAAAGTCACTGGTGCTTTGATCCAATCTCCAAATTGTCCTTCTTGCAAATTGTCGTTCATAATATCCATCAACCTTCTCCCACAATTCCTATCTAAATGTCCAATCAACCTACAGTTAGCACAAATTTTTACTAACCTCTCATATTTAAACTGCACTCTCACCTTCTGGTTTCTAAATCTGATATTAGTGCATCTTGGAAGTGCTTCTTTGAGATCCACTAACACCAGTAATCTTAATAATCTGCCAGCTGAATTTCCTGGGTAACTGATTGTAACATTCTTAACTCCTTTAAACACTTTTCCCACCTTTAGCCCTTAAGTACATTGTAATAATATTTTATATTATTTTATTATTGTGGACCATAATTAGTTGGACGTAATTGAATTAATAGTCAAACTTAATTAAGGTGAATATGTATTTAATGGATTATAGTTAATGTTCTAATATTAAAAAGTCCAATTTGTAATGTTTGACATGGATAATAAGTTAGGTGAGAACATAGGGAATGTTAGTAGGAATAGGATTGTAGGTCTCCTCCTATATATACTACTACATGCCCCTCTCTCTCGGCTCATACGAAAATAAAGTTCTCGACATCAAGGGCTTTATGGAAAGACGAGAAACGCAAGAGAGAGAAACAATTCATAGGAAAAGACAAACATATCATTGGAGATTACGAGAAAGAGAATCGTAGATCAATATCATAGATCAAGAAAACAGGGAAGGACTAATGTTGGAATCTTGTAAGTTCTATGTGCAATTTAATTAATGCAAAGATCCATATTATATTAATTGATAGAATTACATGCTAATTAGGGTTTATTCAATTCCGCCTAATAGTTATGAATATGCCCGTCAAATTTCTTACATGTAGTATCAGAGCATGTGTTTATGAATATTATTTTTCCATATAAAAGATTACAATTGCATTTAGGCTTTTATTGCAAATTCAGTTTTGCTCCTGCTGCGAACGATTCGAATGAATTAATTGTGATGACCATGAAATAATTGTTGAACAATTCGTGATCGAATAATTGTATTTGCTGGACATGTTAAAGTTACTGTAAGTGTTTATTGGACAATTGAATTCTACATGGTTGGGAATTATTTTCTCAATTTGTCCTAAATTGCCGTGCTGAATTATATTGCCGAAAGTGGATTCAACAATTGGTTTCGTGGATTATTTGCCAAACATGAATTGATGTTCTAATTGGATTGGTGAATATAGTTTTTTTTTTCAAACGACAAACAAATATATAACTAGAAAACTTAAAAAGATTACAGAGGCGATGTCAACTGATACTAAAAAACCAAATAACTGGATCTACCCTCTTGAACTTTCAGAGGAATCCAAGAGGTACAACTCCAACAAGGAAGCAACCGCAAACCCAAAACGAAATTTCACAAAGGGAAAGAAAACTCCATGAAGGAGATAAACCAGACAAGTTGGATTGACACACAAAAAGCATAAAGAAAAAAACACACCTAATGTACAAATAAACTAGAACCTCCCCTACACCTAACAGACTCGATGCTCAACCACCGGGGACCACACACGATCCACATCCCTAGCAAAGAGATCCAACAAGACCACAAACCGGAACTTCAAGCCCGAAAACTGCGACCACTCGTGCCGCCTAGACGGATTTGAAGAAGAGATTGCTCTCGGTTTAGATCTGATCTCCGAAAAACCATCAACGTTGGGGAAGGAGAGGGAGGAGAGGGAGCCGCCGCGAGGACACCAACTCGCCTCGTCGGAGTGCTCGAACTAGGGATCGAACGGACGACAAGCCGCACAAAAGGACCCAAAACATGAACAACAAGACTCCCGGCGGAACAATGGTCGATACCTCCTCGAGGCTTGGGCCTGAACTCTTGCGGTCGGCGGTCTCATCCATGTCTGGGGGATGGCTAGGTTGCTAAGCAACTCGGACCCAGCGGGGGCAAGAGTTATCCAACCCAATCTCCCACAAAGCCCGGAGGAGACGGAAAATGTCCTAATCCCCGAATCGACGTGCTCCAATTCCAGCGGTGCGGCGGCGAGCCTGAAGGTGAAGGAGGGGCGACAAAATTGAAGATGCCGACTGGTTTTTTCAATTGAGGAGAGAAGAAAAGGGGCATCCCCTCACGCGTTAGAAATTGTTATTTTGAAAAGGTCTTGGCAACTTAGTGCCATTATCCTTATTAGGCCCAACTTTTAAAAATGTTTACCATTACATCTTTGTCTGCTGTAAAAATTTCTTATTCAAATTTTTGGGGAAGTTTATGGATGTGATTTAGAATGGATTCAATTGAAGAAGCTTGGAGCTCTTTTCATCTATTGAGCAATTTCATTAGAGGTTGTTTTGGTAGATTGCGGTTCTGGTGCGATGCTTGAGTGTGGAAGATGATACTCACACAGTACAGAAAATAGGAAAAAATATTTTGTCCTTTTCAGTGGGAAAATTGGTAAATGCATTATTTTTCCTATCATTTGTCTAAGGCAACAAATGCATAATATATTATATCAACAAAATCTTATCTTATGTCAACCATACGTAACAAATATAATGTGCATCATATCACTAGACATGATAAAAGTTGTTTCGTCTCGTCAATCCTAACAAATGTGCCCTTACTTCTCAATTGAAATTAATATTTCGAATGATATGAAATTTATCCTATCCAAACTATCAATCACGTTTAACAAACATATGTTTCACTTAATCCATATAGTAAATATATTTATCCCGTATTTGTTTAAAACAATCTCATCACATGAAACAAACGTACCCTTTGTGTTTATGTCGGGGATAATTTTTTGATTCTTTCTGCAAATAAAATAACTTTTTGATAATTGTCGTCACTTGAAAGAATTCATTCATAACCAATCCACCGAACGACATATCATAAATGATGATTTGAATATCTTAAACTAAATTGACCATCAACATGGTGTCATCTATCTCGTGCTTACAAAAGTTACTGACCAGAGGTTTATTAGCAACGGTGTCTTCTATTTTGTGTAATATTTCCAAAAAAGTTCCACAACTCCTTAGACGTTTTAACCGGGCTATATACATTATAGAGTATTTTGTCTAATCCATTAAGTATAAAATTTATACACAAGAAATTGTTATGATACTACATATCCATTCGCCTTTTTACGCAATCTGAAGAAATTGTTATGATACTACAAGAAATTGTTTTTAAGTATCGTTTCTTACTCGAGCACAATCTGAAGATTTTACGCAATGAAGCGAGAAAGATAAATAGTGATAAGATAAAACAACACATTTTGTTCCCACAAACACCTAGTTCGTTGCTCCGCAATGGGCCTAGTGCCCACAGGCAGCTGACAACTATCACACACTCTCGAGTCCTTGCCAGTTTTGAGTAATTTCACATAATCCCGACGAGTCACAAACATCCACCCTATATTTTACTCCACAAGAAACATCATCCAAGCCTTGGAGGATGAATACTCAACTATATCATGATGTTCATAACTACCTGAAACATTTTATGATTTCAATATTGTCTCTACTTTAGTATAAAGTTTATTTTACTTAAAGTAGAGTGAAATAAAAATTATGTTCTATCTCAAATTTCTCGCGTTATATTATTTTATATGAAATTTTTATTTCCAATTTCATTATTTTAAATTATATCTAATGTAAAAATATAAAATAATTAGATATATTATTTTACACAGCAAATATTTTCATAATATTGGTGGGCCTGCCTCTGGTTTTAGATATTATTAGACAATAAATTTATATTTTATAATATTGTTGTTGTATGAAATTTAACAACTCATATGAACAAAAAGCAAGGTGTAATTAACAAGAAATAAGTGTAAATTATTTGTATTATTGATGATTTCACAAGAGTACAAGAAGTTGGTTTTATAAGTAATCGAGATGTTTTTATAGTCCGTGTACAATGTGTGGGAAAAGATCCCCGTACAGTCATAAATTCTGCTATTTATAGTACGGTGATTTTTGTCTTTTTGTCCGAGGTAGATCAGATCGTATTTGATGTTGAGCAGCTTCAATAAAGCGTCGTGTTATACTGTAGGGGAACATCAATGATTATTCTTTGACTTGATGGTCCAATTTAAAATGTACAGCGCCTCTTGCTTTGGGATTTGATCACCTCGGAACTTTGTTAAATGGATAATCTTCAGTAAAAACGTCTGCAAGGTCGGTTTCCTTTATCTTGATTGTAAAGTCGGTTTTGAAGTTTGGTGATTGGTCAGTTATTTCTTCAGTTGTCTGAAGTCAGTCGATATTTAATTGCACCGAGCTGAACTAAGTTGGTTGCCAAAAATAATATTAAAGGACTATTAACAGTATAAAATAATCGATCCTTTAATTAACCTTCGGAAATCAAGTCGGTTATCAACAGAGAGGTCCCCGACATTAGCAGGTATTCAGGCTTCAGAATGACTGCTGATGTTGTTAATGTTTTTAGTAATTCCGACTTGATCCTTCTCCGATTTATATCATAATTGCTGACATCTTTTTCCTTGGTTACTGACATGAAAATACTTAGTACTTTTGCCAACTTTTTATTACCGGGGAAACAATATCATGTAACGGCTCTGTCGACGTGGCAGTTCTTAAAAGACGTGTCTACATTTAATGGGTGCAACAGACAGAATAATAGGGCGACGTGGCGTTAGAAGACTAGCTCACGTGTATTAATGATTACTGTAACGTTACGCCGTTTGATGACACGTCTGTTACACACGCCGATTCCCGATTGTTCAACAGTTATAAATCGCAGACTATAAATTCGAGTCGTTTTTAATTGTGGGGAACTTTTACCTTCAATTCGTGAATTCTCCATCTTTTGCTGAATCGCCATCTTTGAAATTCTTCGATTTCTTTTTGGTTATCATTTCTCGATCATCTTTTTATCTTATCCGATTTTGGGCTTCGAAACTCTTGGTAAGATTTTGTCCTAATTGTCAATTTTTTATTTATGTCAATCGGAACTTCTCTTTATTTTCTTTTTGCGGATTTCGGAAAATGATTTCGCAAGGCGAAGTTAGTAGCAGCCGTACGGTTTACGAGGTTAGGAT